CCCAAAACCCCAAAACCCCAAAACCCCAAAACCCCAAAACCCCAAAACCCCTTTTATATTTTAGAATATAGAAATTTCTATAATATTTAAATATGAATAATCACAATAGAGGAAATACATCTCATCATCTTCCTCCACAAGATGATCATTACTTCAACTCAAGGTCTCACAGTAGTAACTTAAGAGATGCTAGTGAAGATGAGAAGGACGAATCCCCTGTCTCTGTAAAAGGAGAGAGCAAAAGTATAGGTGGGTTCTTCATACCAATTTTTATTCTTAAAAACTCTTTGTGTCTTATCTATTCATATAGCTGAGGAAGAAAGGAAAAACTATATTGGAAATGACTCTGACAACGATAGTGACATTTTAAGGAAGGAAATTAGATTTGATGACCAACACTCTCATCTATCAGGACAGGACAACATAAATAGAAGTAATTTTATTTAAAAGACAACATAACCTAATAATATAGTTGGACCTGATGACGACGAACAGAAGGAGAAGCTAGGAAGATGAATTTTCAGACATAATCAGACTATAAGATTAAGATGGGATCTTATTGTTATCTTCTTCGCTCTATACAATTGCATCAGTATCCCATATGAAGTTGCATTTGAGGAGGGTTTCTCTAATCATGTGTCAATTCTAGTCTTTGATTATCTGGTTGATTTCTGCTTCTTCCTGGACATCCTTTTCAACTTTAGGACCACTTATATTAATTCAAAGACTGGAACAGAGATTATTTCCTCAAGAAGGATTTTTATTAATTATACTTTCCATGGAAGATTCTTTATTGACCTTTTAGCAACAATTCCATTTGAATTGGTGGTTTCTGTTATTATGCCTAATACAAATTTTTCTTTCCAAGTATTTGGGCTTCTAAAATTGGTCAGGCTTCTCAGACTTGGAAGAATCATCACATATATGAAGTTCAAGCAAGGTCTCAAGATTGGATTCAGAATTTTCCAACTTCTTTTCTTCTTACTTCTTCTTGTTCATTGGATTGGATGTATCTGGTACATGCTTGTGAGCAGTATGGATTCATGGATTCCACCAAAAGATCTTGATGCTGGGGAAACAGACTTCTACAGGATTAGTAACTTAAGAAAATACACTGTAGTATTTTACTATGCTATTTTACTCATTGTGGGTAACGAAAGTGCACCAAGAACAACAAGCCAGACAATTTTTTCATCACTAGTCGTCATTATGGGAGCAATTGTGACAGCCCTTATTTTTGGTAACATGGCTGCCTTAATGGCTACTATCAATAAGAAGGACTCTCATTTGCAAGAACAGATAGACTTTGTTTCTACCACGATGAGGAGTATCAAGCTGCCGGAGGATATACAAAATCAAGTTATTGAATACCTTATGCACTGCCAAGAAACTCCAGATTTGAGAATGTTCAGTAGAATATCTCCTTCACTGAAAAACAAAATTTTGAATCACATGTACAACAAAATCATACAGGAGATAGACATTTTCCATGGATGAACAGACATTGAAATAGGGTTCATTGTAAACAATCTTAAGACTATGCTGTTCCTGGTTGATGATGAAATCATCAGACAAGAAGATTTTGGGAACAAGATGTATTTCATCTCAAGTGGTTCGGTAGATGTCTTCCTCACAATTGAAAAACCAAACAAAGATGCAAAGAAAGCTCTTAGGGAAAGAGACCAAGATATTGACTCACAATCTGATGTAGGAGGAGAAGATAACTCCCTCATTAGGCATGTGGTTAGGATTAATAAGCTTGGCAGTGGAACTTACTTCGGTGAAATTGCTATGGTCACAAACCTCAAAAGAACAACTACTGTTAGAGCTGCAGATAATATTAATCTTGTGTATCTTACAAGAGAAAATTTTGCAGATATCAAGAAAGAATTTCCACAAGTCTATTTGAATTTTAAGAGAAATATCAGGAATTATGACGACCATGATTTTGAATTCAGAAGAAACATGATTAAGAATACCCCTTATTTCAGAAAATTAGATAGAGAGGTGATAGATGAAATTGTGTATTTGCTGAAGCCAAATAGATATGATCCTAACACAACAATAATTAAGTATGGTGATATCACGAATAAGATTCATTATTTGAAACAAGGAGAGGTTGTTGTTTCGATTCCAACAAAGAACGGAATCTCTCAAAGTGAAACACATTTTGAGACTCTTAATGCTGGATCTTGCTTCTGTGCCTTCAGTGCTTTCTCTGGTGATATCCAGCAGCTTGTTAACTTTAAAGCCAGAACTTCATGTATTGTTGAAACCATTGACGTTGGAGATCTTGAATACATCGAAAGGACTTATTTACAGCTTAGTGATGAAATCAAGAAACTCAGACTGCTCGTAGACAACAAAGACAAATCTGAGCTTGACTTCTTCAGATATCTCAAGCCGCTCAAGCGAGAACACAAAGCCAGCGTCAAGCAACAAGTCAGAAAGAAGTTCCAGGCTGCTGTCAGAAAGTTCACTGAAATGCACAGAAAAGACAAAAACTGTTTGCCCAATGCATTGCTTGCACTCAGAGACATCATGCGAGAACGGAGAAGAAAACAGAAAGAAATTTTACATTTACAGCGTATCAACACGATCAAGTACTTGCAAGAAAAGTCTCCACTGATCCATCCATCTCAAGACATGAACTCTCAAGGAGTCAACATGTTCATCAACCAGACCATCAACAATCAGTACAACTTCCAGAACTTCAACATCCAGAACACATCGAGCGGGACTCTGCCTCAGGTGCAGTCAGCAGCTTCGTTCGGACACAAAGAACATGAAGAACTCGAGATGCTCAGGAAGATGGACGAAGAAGCTCGCAAAGAAAAGACCAAGACCAACCAGAACCTCAGCAAACTTCTCAACCTCATTGAAGTGCACAATGGAACACTCGAAGACATCGAATCCAAGTTCAAGAAAGAGTTCTCAGACATCAAAGACAACATTCGCAAGATCAAGCAACAGCAACAACAAGAGTCTGAGAAACTCAGAATCATTAGAGAGGATGCACACAAAGCTCAGCAAGAACAGGCTGAACGATTCGAGCGGGAACAACAGCAGAGACTTCAGCGAGAGCAGCAAGACAGTCTCCACAGACAGCAGCAAGACCAGCTTTATCGTGAACAACAAGACAGGTCACCTAGAGATGATGAAGGAGACTACACACAACAAGAGCACAAACATCAAACTGAACAAACTGAGCACCAACAAAGAACAGCAACTGACCAAACACACAAACAGTACGAGCATTCTTCTGAAGTCGAAGCCAACCTCGAAGAAGTAAAAGACTCCAAACATCACAAGAAAGCTCAGCATGAATTTTCGAAGAACACTCTCAAAGAACTGTATCCGAGAGAGCAGTCTCCAGCCGACAAGCCAGAATACAGCAACTCGATGGACCATGATGACGTAGGAGTGTTTGCTGCTCCTGAAGCTTCTGTGGCTCACAAGAACCCACTGGCAGCACAGTCAAATCAGACCAAGAAGAAAACCACCAAGAGGATGCAGGGTGTTGGCAAAAACCAGAGTCTCAAAGCTCCCAGAGACTCCGCCGAAATCAAGGCTGGTCAACCTAACTCTGCTGTGTTGGCGCAAGACAACGAGTCTCATGACGATGAATCGAAGTCAGACCACCCTGAACTTCTGAAGCTAAACAGCAACTCCGGAATGCTCAATGCTGGAGAATCTCCGAAACAAGAAATCGATCTGACTGATGAAGAAGACTTCCAGAAAGATGTCAACCACTACGAAAACAACTACAAAGCTCATGACCACAGCCAAGAACACAGCCACGAAGACTCTGACAGCGAGAGTGAGAGCCAGCCTGAAGGGGAAGAAGCCAAGAAGCAGCTCAACGATAACTTCAGACAGAATGTTCCACACGATGAAGCCCGGAAGAAACTGAGCGAAGCCTCTTTTGAAGAGTCGAGCATTGGAGAACACAACGAAGGAGACTTGGCTGAGGAAGAACAGGTTGACTACAAGGAGAACATGCCAAGACTCAATGAACATGAAGTTATCGCTGATGCCAAGAAATCCAAGAAAAGAAAAAGAAAGATCAAATTTAAGAGAGGTAATAAACAATCCCATCAAGAAATGGACATAATGATGAGGGAGCAGGCAAACAAAAAAGAAAAAGTATCTTTAGCTAAGAATTCTAAGCCTAAGAAATCATACCATGCTTACCTAGAGCATCCTAGGATGAGACATCAGCCATCTTACCAGTCCCCAAGAAGACAGAAGGCTGAAGAAGATGAAGAGTTCGGACTCTCTGTTAGACCAAGGAAGAAATAATTCAAGTGATAAAAATTCAATAAACTTTCTTTAGTAAGGGGTTTTGGGGTTTTGGGGTTTTGGGGTTTTGGGG